AGAACACTTAATTTTTAGATGAGTAATAGTTCAAGGACGAGAGGGATTAATATGGACTTCTGGGAGTGTGATTCACCACTAGTGAATGGACTCTTCAAAGAATGGAATACTATATTCTATGTGTCCTAACACACATACTATATGCCCTATATAACAAGTATTCTATATTCCCTAACACATTTAACGAAACAGAGTAAGTCCCTACTAGCACACGGTTGTTGGATGGATGAGTGGCTATATGGGTTTGTGGATGGCTAAGTGAATAGTCTGGAGGAAAGAAGCCCTTATAAAGGAAGTGGGATTTAATAGGGGTTAGAATCAGAGGGACAATATGGAGGTTAGAGAATATTGCCATAGGCATTATTTCCATAGAGGCTGTTGAAAAAACAACCTACTCGAAGCAGAAGACACTTACTAGGAAGTAGCAGATGACGCATTTGGACACTGACATCTCAGCATCATGCAGCTGATCAGCGCCTATTCCCATGACTTCACTGGGTTATGTTTAGATTAGTGTTGTAAGTGCAGGGAGAGTTTGAGGAACTTGTTAATGAATCCAGACTCCCACATACAAAATGAGATTTCTGAATGTGTGTGGTCGTTGGTATTCTGTTCTGTTCTTTCTCTACGCAAACAGCAACAGATGGTAGAAGGGGGCCGAGAGGAGTGGGAATCCAGGAGGAAAGTTTAAGTTGCCCCATGTTTTCTCTTGCTGGGTCTACTCTGGATGAATCCTGGGGAAAAGGAAGATTGTAGAAGAATAAAGTTTGGCTTTTACAGTCAAAAGGCTGATTGGCATCCAGCTCTCTTAGTTGCCCCATAAAAGGGTCTATGGAATGTAGAAAAATCACTTATCACTAATACCAGCTGTGATAAGGTAAGTGGCTTAGGTTTTCTGTGTCTTGATTTCCTTATGTATATTGGGAAAATGGTAGAATCTCATAGTACTTTAAGGAATAAATGGAATTAATATATTAAAGTGCTTTACTTTAGTGCCTGAGATAGAGTAATCACTCTATAAGGCTTGGTAAAGCTGATGAGGATGCTGGTGAACATTCATAAAATGAAGATATAAAAAGGTGCACTGACCCTTTAAGGAAGCATGTCTTGTGTTCAAAATCCTCCTCATCTCTTCAACCCCGTCTCACTCAGTCCAGCATGTTAGCCATTTACAGTTCCTTGAACATAGGCTTGTTTTGGCCTTAGGACCTTGACACTTGCTATTCCCTCTGCTTGGAATGCACATCTCGTGGAGCTTTCAGTGGCTGCCTCTTACTCATTACTCAGGTTTCACCTCCATTGTCACCTCCTCAAGGTAGCCTTGTCTAACTTTAAAGCAGTCCTCTTCCCTCAATTTCTCTCTTCCACATGATTCTATTCTAACTTTCCCTAGCACGTTAGTATCTAAAAATTATCTTATTAATCTGTTTGCTTTCAAGGTTACTCAGTCTTATTCACCAAAGTATCCCAAGACCTAAAATATGCCTGTAGATATCAAGTGCTCAACAGATATTTGCTAACCACTCACTGGTGGACTAACTGGTTGATAAAGACAGGACCCCAAAGAGTATACATTTAAGATAGTGTTAATTATAGCTTCGAAGAAGAATTTATCCCATTCCGAAAAGAGAATACCCAAAGCGAACTTCACACAGAATGACAGCTTTAGGCAAAATTTCTGTTTTTTTTTTTTTATGTTCAGTCTTGAGGTAAAAGGCAAACTAAGGGAGGACATTGGAAGTTGTAACCAGGTTCCTTCACTTAATAGAAAGTCAAAAGTTGAGAAAAGCTATGAGTCTTTTAGATGCCACTTGTTTGACTTCAGCCTGGTGAAATAAACTTTTATTGTTGAAAGCTTAGTTTTTCCCCTCTTCTTCCTACTTTTCCCCCTCACTTCTGGGGTCTGAAGTGAAGAGAATCCGACAAACTCTAGTATGCTTGTATTTTCTATATGTTTAGATCAGTTGCCTGTATATGCTAGATACTTAATAAGTTCTGCTTGTCTTACTACGTGTATAAAGGCCTAAAGAGTACCTAAGGACTTGCACACATGCTAGGGATATTTAACCTGTGGTCCAAAAATTGAAGAGTCAATCGTTCAACCTTTAGAAAACCAAGGTCCAGTTAAGCAACTGTTCTGGACTATTAAAGGTCAGGTTAAGTAAGTACATGCCGAGCTGTTCCCACTTTAAAAATTGTTCTAACATCTAAATGGGGCTTCCTAGTTAAATACAATATTCTTTAATATTTATGTGCTGTTATTTTAATTTTAAATTTCTATTTTTATAGGCAAAGGACAATTGAGCGGAAAAATGTTATACCCTCTCTCTCTCTCTAGCTATTCATGCTGTGAAGCAACCTGTTTTACTGTTTAAACCTGTGTTTGTTCTGTTTCAATTGTGCAGAAGGAAACAGTTCTGGCACCTTTAAAAATCAAAGATCTATCACTCAACAGGAGAACACAGCAACCTAGGAAAGGGAATTATGAGGAATAGCAAAAAGATACGGTGCTTCTGAAACCTTATTGGGCTTATGAATCACCAGGGGATCTTGTAAAAATGTAGAGTCTGATTCAGTATGTCTGGGGTGGAGCCTGAGATGTTGCAATTCTGACAAGCTGTAGGTGATACCTATGCTTCTGGTCCTTGGTGTTTATGAACCATACTGTTTGGGCCATATGGCTTGAGAAATAAAAATCACTTTAGAGCATTTAGTACTTACAGTTATAGTAACATTAAGCCACTACTACTTTATTTAACCTGCAAAAATGACCATAAATTCTTCCTCTCCCATCCAGAGATGGAGCCTATTTCTCCACTCCTTGAATCAGGTTGACCAGGTAACTAGCTTTGGCCTACAGACAACCACAATTGGCCAGAAGGTGAGTCTTGGAAAGTACTTGTGCATTTTGAGACTTGCCCTCTTTTGCTGCTCTTGGAACCCTGCAAATCACACAACTGCACCCAAGCTAGCCTGTTGGAGGATGAAAGGCCACATGCAAGAGAACCAAAGTGACCCAAGCTATAGTCAGTCAGTCAGTCGGGCTCCAGCCAGCAGCCTGCCAACTGCCATCCCTCTGAGCAAAGCCATCCTGGACTATCCAGTCTCCAGCTACTTCTCCAGTTGATCACAGACATTTGAGTGAGCATAGTCAAGCTGGCTTATACAGATCTGTGGAGCCAATACACAGCACCATGAACTAAATAAAACAACTGTTGTTAACCATCAAGTTTTTTGTTTGTTTAATTAATTAATTAATTTATTTATTATGCAACCTCTGAGGCAGAAACCGATACTTAAGGAAGAAGCAGTAAGAGTTTTAAGTTTGAGGCACCTGACACCATCAGTGCTTATGACTCTTTTTCCATCTTCTCTTCACTCTATGTGGCATCATTTTGGCCTTATCTAATAGAAATTGGTATAAGTAGTTATTGCAATAGAATTGGAACTATTTTTCTAGTTTTACAATTAAATTTATTTTTATCTTTTATTTTACTTTGTTGAAGACTTCTCCTTAGAAGTTGTCACTGCCCAGGTGCCCAGCTTATAAGTGGCAAAACAATTTTTAGTCTAAAATAAAGTCAGAAATTTCAAAAGTTCTTTTCAGTAAGTTATTCAATGTCTCAGATTCTTCTGCTAAAATGCAAATACAGAACTGCATTCTGAAGGACATGATCTCTAGTCATCACGTTGTTTCAAGTTTGAGAAGGTGATCGAAGGCCCATCCACAAAGGAATAATCTTACACTGATGTGAGATGCCAATGACAAACCCTTCTGGGGGAAAGATACACACAACGTCAGACAGTCATTGACACAGAGTCCTTACACAGACAGTACTTTTCCTTTGCAGCTTTACTCATCGATGGGCATTCTCCCCAATATTGGTAATCCTTGACCATCTGGGCTCCTCTCAAAACTGTCAATATCAACCATATTTTTTCTTTTCCACAGTCACGTGAAATATGTATTAATGACAGTCTCATGGCCACGCCTTTATATTAAAGGCTGCTCACAATGGACTAGGGCAATGGTTCTCAGTTTTTTAAATGGTCCTTCCTATTGAGGCCATATCTACCTCTTCTGCTCCCTCCTATTCTTCCATGTTGAGAATCAATAAAAGAAGTTTGCAAACTGGTATTCCACAAGCTGAATACTCTCTGCAGTGTCACTTGCTTACTAATAGAATATGATTTTTAAAAACTAGAATTTGAAAGACTTCAATTAAAAGATGTACTTTGTAGGTAGCACATGCCCTAGATCCTATCATCCAGCTGGTTCCCACATCCACATTATCTTACTGGGCTGTGAAGATGTCTGACTGAGCATCAGCTGTATTTTAATCTTTCTTGCTAGGGATTGGCATCTACAGCGACCACTGTAACCACTCAGCACATTCCAGGGATTCCCTGATCTGTATGTCCAGCTGTAACCTTTGTCTATATCTTCAGCTGCTTACTTGTAGCTCCAAATGTCAGAGTTTGCTTTCACGTCTTACTCTTCCTTGCCTTCCATCTACCTTAGACAAGCCCACTCTATTGAAATCATCTTAAATTATTTCTTGGAAAAAGTATCATTTGAAAGATTATCAATCCCACTACAAACTCTTACTGTACCTGGCCTTCCCTGTCCATCTCTAATTTTAACATAGGCAGTCCCACACAATATCTCATTTGGGCAGATGTGGTAGCCTCCAAATCGCTCTTCTTGCCTCCAGTATCCTTCTCTCTGCTGTTCATCTTCAGGACTATCATCAGAACTATATTCCTTGTGCCCACATTTTGGAAATCATAATCCAGGTTGAAAGTCTTCCCAATGTGTTTCTAAGCTAATACTCTGGTTTCATCTCTCCTCACTCCTTTCTCTCTCATACCTGTGCTCCAGACACTCTAAACATCTCAGGAACCCCTGTAGTTTTTTCAGACTTTGCCTACTGACTGGAGTGGTCTCCGCCATCCATCCATCTGGTCAACTCCTCCTCCTTTTCTCCCAGCTTCTCTGACTGGCCTTGCTCAGTTAGCTAGAGAAATCTCTCCAACCACAGCTCTTGTTTATATCTCCGCCATAGCGTGAATCATAGTGCTTTGTTACCCATTATGCCCACTCCAGATCTGAGAAAACAAAAGGCAGGGACCACATTATATCTAACTCTGTATCTCAGAAACTAAACCTCCATTTGACTTAAACTAACAAAAATAAGCAAGAACAGCCACAGACCTTTATGTTAAATAATTAAAAGGCATTCTCAAAGCACTTGTGAGAGATTAAGAAGTGGTCCCAGAGAATGGGAGATAATTTGAATTAAAAGATAAATGCATCCAATTGGGCAGGTCAATTTACCACAGAAGGCTCACTGCTTACATATGATGGAGAATTTCCTACATAAAATAGATCTGTAAAAGATGGCCATATATAAATGGCATTAATCCATGTGACTTCAACTCCAAAAGGTTGGACCTTCCTAGGTTACTATTTTGTGCCTATATGTCAACGTAATACAGAGGCTTTTTATATTTAGCTCAGATTCCCTAGGCTATTGATTAAGCAGGAATTCAAACCAGTTAATAAGCTCAATTCACCACGAATGTCTGAGCCCAGAACTATGCCAGATTGCAATAAGAAGAGAGTGGACATGTTTACTAGTGCTGTGTGGCGATTCCTATGTTCTTTAAATATGGTCTCTTATGTCTGATCTTCTTCCATACCTTTAGAGGTAGATATTAGCAGGTCCAAAGATCAGGAAAATAACAAGTCTGTCTTTAGGGAGTTTCATTTTACCTGTACGGACAAAATTAGCAACATCTGGAAAATTCTATAAAACAAGATAATTAAATGTCAAGATGTATCAGAGACAAAACTTACTACAGCATTAAATTGGTTCCATTATTTGTGGCTAGGATGAGGAGGTGAGACCTGCTAATGCCAAGCAGAAGAACTGTAGTTGTCCAGCTCTCCTCATAAATTCTTGGGACCTGACGGAAAAACAGATTCTTGCACTAGCGTCCTGCTATAGTGCTTGAAACCAAAACCTTAGAATCATTCCTTGGTATAGTGTGAGCCAAGTTAAAGTCAAATGTACCTGTGGACTGCAGTTAAATAAATGGTTCCAAAGCTGTTCTGGCACACTGGTTTGGTATTAATAGGTGTCCCAAATAAGTGGGTGAAACCATGAAAAACAAGATTCCTTGTGATTGAGATAAATAATGTACTGTGAATCTCAAAGAATATAGCAGAGTCTGGTGCATTTCACAAATATATTTAAACATTCTTACCCCCACAGAGCATTATAAGCAACACCGCATTAAACTACTTTCAGACATCAACACCTTTGTGAAAATAATTTGGCTGGCCAGCCTCTTAATAAGATGTGTGAATTCCATTCTCATGCACTCCCAGAAGCAACACTGAAGACCCCCAAGCCCAACCCTCCAACTGAAGTGGGAATCTTCTACAGGAAGTAGTGAGGAAATGAGACTAGGAAGGAAGGAAGGATGGTTTCAAGGCATCAAGAACAGATTCAGGCAGGGTTCTCAGTTAGTGCCCCAGCCAGATGAAGGAGAGGAGATCAAAAGACGTTTCTATTTGTGGGATGGCGGAGTTTCTCAAGGAGAAGAGAAAGCAGCAAAAGAGCTATTGGGGGTGAAACGTGCAACCTTTCAGGAGGGCAATCTGGCATTATGTATTGAAAGTATCTAAAAGACCCCACCCTTTGAACACCAATTCCACTTCGAGAATTAAAATTTAAGGACACAGGTACCCAAACGTACCAAGGTATATGTCCTAGTCTGTTCAAGCTGCTATAATAAACGACCATAGCCTGGGTGGCTTAAACAACAAACATTTATTTTTCACAGTTCTAGAAGCACGGAAGTCTAAAATCAAGGTGCCTGCAGATTCAGTATGTGGTAAAGCCTGCTTCCTAGTTCATAGATAGCCTCCTTCTCACTGTCTGCCATCCCATGGCAGAAGGAACCAGAGAGCTCTCTAGAGTCTCATTATACGGACACTAATCTCATTCGTGAGAGCTCCACTCTCATGACCTAATAACCTCCCCCAGGCTCCACATTCAAATACCATCACAATGGGGATTAGGATTCAACATAGGAATTTTGGGAGGACACAAACATTCAGTCTATAGGAGTATATGAGGATGTTCATCATGGCCATTTTATGGTGGCTAAAAAACAGAAACAAACTAATTGGTAAACAAGAGAAGACACATAAAATAAATAAAATAGAATGGTTTGCAGCCATTGAAGATGATCCTATCAGTTTGTATTCTTCACATGGGAAAATATCAACAATGAAAAAAATAGTTACAAAGTACTATGTATAATGTCACCAGATTTTAAGAAAATATATGTGAAATATACAAATCCCAAAAGAATATGTACCCCAAACTTAGGGGTTTATCTCTGGATCGCTGAATTTTAGGTGACAATCTTCATTTAAAATTTTTTTTCTTGTTATCTTTCATTTTGTTGCAATAAAAAGGTAAAACTTAAATGTCCATGAAGAAAACTCACAGATTGGCAGTGATTAAAAAAAACTGAGGAGTTATGTAAGCCTGAAGATGCCTAAAGCTAGTACATACAAGGGCTCTACACTTCCTGATGTACCGATGATAAAATCAAATTTTATTAAGAGCCCTACTAAGTGCTAGGCTCTGTGATAAGTATACACTTTGTGTTCTATGTGTTTGAACTCCAACAGGAGAGTGAAGAAGATACAGAAAGCGGGAGGGGTTTGTCCAAATTTCTACCACCAATTGTGGGCAATCACTTAACATTTCCGGCCCTTCAATTCCTCAATGACAAAACTAGGGAATCAGTGAAGCTTGAGTTCCTTTTTCAGGTTAGAATTTGTGAGTGCTATAATAGAATGCTTCTCAAAATTTGATGTTAACCTGGGACTAATGGTAAAATGCAGACTTGATTCAGTGGGTTTAGGGAGCCGCCTAAGAGTCTGCATTTCTAACATGCTCCGTGGCTGATAGTCCCAGGCTTACACTTTTGACTTGCAAGACTCTACCTACATGATCTCATTGAATTTCCCCAAGAATCCCTTAAGAAAGCCATCCTTAGCCCTATTTCACTCATAATGGAGTGACCTATCTAGGATCAAACTGATAGAAAATGGCAAAGCAGAGACCCCAATTGAGATCTTTTTACTCCTAGTCACCAAGATATTTAACACCCCATTCAGTTCTAAAATGTTATAATTAGAAATTACTGCCACACTCATAAAAAGTGAACAAGACCAGGAAGAGGACTGGTAAAGGTAAGCTTCTAATGGAATTCAGAAGAATGAGAGATCACTTCACATGAGGACCAGTTAAGAAGTCATAAAAGAAATTTGACATCAACTTTGAAGGATAGCTAGAATGAAGGTAAGCAAAGATGGAAAATACATATGCAGCCGTAAGGTTAATAGGGCGTGATCAGAGCATATGGCAATGCAGAGAAAACTTGTAGAGAGGGGCCCAGGATAACAAGACAGGCTTCATGGACTGAATCAGATATTTATTACAAGAGCCAAAGAAAGACAACTCAAAGGTTGAGCCTTAGACACTAGAAGAATACAGTCAACTAAATTTTCAGTACAGCATTGGAAACCCCTTACCAACTTCCTTCTCCTCAACATAGAGATTCCATTTGTCCCTGTCTACCTTCCTCTTCCCCCCTAGCACCAGGGAATTAGTCTACTCATCATGATAGAAGCATGCCAGTTTCCATACTTGTACTTACACTTTCACAATGATCACCCCTCCTGTCAGCTCACCTACATCTTGAGTCCGTAAACTACTTCATCAACTTTGCGTCCTTCAAGGAGGCTTTTTAGCTTTGGTTCCATTTGACCTGTCTGCTCTCTTGTTTGTACATTCTGGAGACATTTACTCTCAAGTACTGGGCAATACATAAGTATTCTCAGCAAAATCTCTCAGTATCTGCTTCTCTTTCCCACCTACAGTTCCTGGAGGAAAGCACTAAGTCATTGCATTTCTTTGCTTTACTCCTATTACTCACATCATGCATGGGGTATGCTAGGTACATCCTTAGTGCTATCAACATTACTGTCTTGTTTTAAGAAAAAGATAAAGTATGATAAGAAAAATCACCTCTCCTTTGTAATTTGTTTCTCCTAAGTAGATCTCCTGAGAGAAGCCCTAGGACCCCCACCCTCCGGCCCCACATGCATCTCCAGAGGCACTCTGTAAAATGCCAGCTATATGCTGTGTGCCCACAGAAACAACAGAGTTAATTTTCTCCTTTTGCAACCGTGACTCCCACTCTCCTCCCCTTCCTCTAAATGTTTCCTTTTAAAGAAAAGTCATGGTCACTGCTACCAAAAATTAAAGACAACAGCATAAAGCTGAAGGTCCAGGCTGGTGCGAGCGATGACAGAACATTAAAATCACCACTTGAATTTCTCTTTCCTTGAACACTGCCAGAGACTGCTAATGGAAAGTCAATGCCCAGAAATGCATGCTCATTTCAGACTTTTTTCACTTGTGCCTCTTGGTTCACAAACTGTTTTCACTAAAACAAATAAATTGGAGGCGGCCTTCAGTTGAGATGGGAGAGGTATGACATATCCAAAAGACGTTGTACGTGACCACCCCCCCCCCCCCACAACATGAAGTACCAAGAAAAAGCAGGAGGGTTTATTATGCAAAGGTTAATTTACAAGGTTTAGAAGAGGAGGAATTAATCACCTCTCCCTCCTCCAAGCTATACTTCTGGCCTCTCCAGCTGCACCAAGCGTGTTCTTCTACCTCCTCTCAGTGCCAGATTGTGTTTTGCAATCAGATTCACATTTCATGTAACCCAGAGTTCCTTCCCATTTGCTGAATCCACATTTTCAAGATTCTTATCCCTTCGTACCCCCAGTTCCCATTCGCATGTTGGCCTGATGGCTTGGGGTGGTTTTCTTGATGCCCAACTACAATGGTGGTTCAAGCTCCTTGCCCACGTAAACATGGAAAACGTTAAGGGTATTTTCAAAGTGTGTAAAACATCCCTCATCAGCATCCAACACTGAAGGAGAGATGTTTGCTGACGGAAACCCATGGTGAGCTCAGAAAGAGAGACTCATCAAGTGCACATAAGTAGCCACATTATAACCCAGTGAATCAGAAGTTCCTACAAGACAGGGAAAGAGATATGAAAGATCAAACACGAGGAAAGAGAGAACTTCAAGTGAGTTCTTTCCCTTTTTTACTTTTTAGTGTGTTGGACCCTGAGAAGCATGAAATTAAAACTCCTGAAAAACAGCCATACAAACTTGCTGTGGTGACTCAAAAGTTGTCGTTTCTCCACTCAACTTCACTGAAACACTTGATTCATGTTGTTCTTATTTAACCTAATTTGCATTGATTTAATCAGTGCTGGTATGCTTTAAATACATAATAAATTGGGATTCTGCAACTTAGATGACTTAGAATAGCTAAATTTCAATAAAGCTCATTTCAATCTGTTAATGTATACACTTCTGCCAAGGGGTTTAAAATCGTAGAAAAGATGCAAACTTGCCACATTAGAGGTGGGAAAAGTTTAAAGATACCATCCAGACGAAATGATTTGCAGGATAATAACGTGACAAGCAAAACATGTATCTATATCTATATCTATATATATCCTAATTACAGCCTAGATGCATCTTCTAAGTTCTGAGTAGCGTACTTAGAAGAAAACTCACATATAAATGCAGTGGATTTAATTTTATTCCCTTTTCTTCTTGCCAACACTCAACTCTTTTCTGCCTCTCCGTACCAGCTCTACAAATCAAGTGACATCCAAAGTGGGACCTCTTCTTGCCCATTTGGCAGCCTCCATCGCCACTTTGCCAAGCTCCTGCATTAGGAGGATTTTCTTCCTAGCAGCCATGGGGATTGGGTGGCTTGTAGGCACAGCACTTGCTGAATGGTTGGCCAGTGTTTACCTGAGCCTGTGCTCCCCCTCCCCCAACTCTTTAGAGTTTATGGCTCAATCAGCTAGCCTGCTGTCAGGAGTAATTGCCTTGGCAAGAGGTGAAAACACTTAATGGTGAAATTGTTTGTCTGTTAAAGTGTTCTTCCGCAGCACCTTGGAGGTGCCAGGACGAAACCTGTAGGTGCCCAGTCCAGAGGTAGGTAGGAGGCAAGAGTGACAAACAGGCAACTATCAAGAATGGCAAAGGAAGGAGACCACTTTGAGGTGGGACAGCAAAAGACCCATCTGTCCCTGTAAGAAGCTATGAGATCTTGGATAATTGCCTGAGGTCTCTGTGCCTCTGTTTCATCATGTGCAAAATTAAGGGGGTTGATACTCTAATGTCTCTTCTAGCTCCTAAGACAGCATGTGATGTCTAGGACATTCCAGATTAGTTTTCCTTTCAATTAAATGATGCATCTCTGAGATAAATGACCGGGGCAGAGCTCAGATGAATACAAAATGGAATGATTCATGCCCTGGTTCATAGGACTTTTCCTGAAAAGTACCACTAGTCTTTGGGGACTGTGATTCCACTGGTTGGTGTCTTCAGCTTTGATGCTAAGGACAAACCCAGTTACTTGTCTGAAGTTGATCCAACCTGGGAACTTTGGTAATCCATCTCATTCTTATCACAATGAGTACCACAACAGACAATGTTCACTTATTTTCAGTTCCTGAGAGGCAGAAATGAAGAGAATTCAAAGAAAGGAGCTGGAGATTCACATTTCACTCTCCCTACCACCAACTTGGGCATCTTTGTCAAGAACGTAGCCTTGCCCACACTCACTTCCAGCAGGGTTTCTCTGCCATCTTTGAGGGGGGTTTTTTGTGCTTTTTTCTACAGATGACCAACAGGTGCCGTATAATAGCAATACAGACCCTCTCCAGACCAACTGGAATAAGAGAGAGCAAGCTCTTTGTAAGTGCCCCATCTATAAATGATTGTGAATAGAAATAATCAGGCAAGACTTCTCTTTAAACTTAGAAGACACAAATTACTAACAGTCTCAAAGCTTAATTAGGGGTATGGAGGGGGTGGGCTTCGTTATGGTTTAAACTACCTCTTCTCTGTTCATTCTCTAGCACGTTCTCCTGGAGTGGGGTGTACTGCGGAGCACAGTAATCACCGTGAGCAGAACGTCAGGGTCAGCCTCCTGGTGTCATACAGCAGAATCTTTCCTTAATCCACCGGAGACCCCATAGACATCAATGGAGACTGGTGAAACCCCAGCGGGATCTCAGGAAAGACTCTCCGTACACAGACATACGTTTCTGCCACACTGGGTCTCATACCACTGGGACTAGGATGGCTTCCCAAACCTGCTGGGTTTGAAAAGCATTTCCCCATCCACCACCAAAAACGGCTGGCTGACTGCAGAATTCCAGTGCCCGCAAGGAAAAAAAAATCTTAGCCAAGCCCCCACAATCATTGCTTTCTTCTATCTTCTCTCAAGTTGCTTTTCTAAGGCAAAGGACCAAATGTTGATTTCTCTACAGATTCCTACGTCTCTCTCACACGTAGGCAGCTTTAAAGAGGAAAGGGGGAACATTCCCCAAAGGGGAAGGGGGAGAGAACAGAATCTCTCAGTTTCCCACTTGGAAATATCTGGTCTTTGATGATGCTACCCCAAGCCTCCATCCCCTCTCCCCTTTTTTTGAAATATGGACAAAAAAGCTATAAGTGTTTTACATTTCATCAAAGAATATATATTACTTTAGTGATTCGGTAAAATGTTGGTTTTATGCCCACCCCTTTTCAATCTGCCCATGTCTGAGGTGCTCCGGCAAGACGCACAATCGTGAGCAGCTTACGACACTCAGTGAGCAGTAGGTGCCTGTGCAAGCTCGCACCGCACACTGCCTGGCGGAGGGAAGGAGCCCGGGCGCCGCTCCCCGCTCCCCGCGCCGCCGCCCGCGCCGCCCGCCGCCCGCACCTCCCCGCCGCCCGCAAAGCATGAGCGAGCCCGCTCTCCGCAGCCGCCCCGGGCGCGAATGGCAGGCGGTCTCCGCGGAGTGAAAGGTGGCGCCGGTCTGTGGTCCTTTCCAATGACGGACATTAACCAGACTGTCAAATCCTGGGGAGTCGCGAGCCCCGAGTTTGGAGTTTTTTTCCCCACAACGTCACAGTCCGAACTGCAGAGGAAAAGGACAGCGGCAGGAAGGCGAAGCCCGGGCGCCGGCACGTAGTTGGGAAACTTGCGGGTCCTAGAAGTCGCCTCCCCGCCTCGCCGGCCGCCCTTGCAGCCCCGAGCCGAGCAGCAAAGTGAGACATTGTGCGCCTGCCAGATCCGCCGGCCGCAGACCGGGGCTGCCTCGGAAACACAGAGGGGTCTTCTCTCGCCCTGCATATAATTAGCCTGCACACAAAGGGAGCAGCTGAATGGAGGTTGTCACTCTCTGGAAAAGGGTGGGTAAGACACTTTTTAATTAAATTCTTTCCCGAAGATTTTTTTTTCCTCCCTTTTCTTTGCTGCAGCATCTAACATGGACCAAATCACCATCTCTTTGATCTTTCCGTGGCTGTGAACTTTCTATGCTGCCCAGCTTTCTGCATGCTTAGAGGTGAACGTGTGGCTTTGGGGAGGGGGGGTCCTTCTTTATTTCAATATATTTATTTGATTTTTGCCCTTTTCTCCCCCTCCCCCGCTCCCCCTCCCTCGGAATAAAATATGATGTAGATTTCTGACCGAGCGCTTCCAATGGACATTCTCCAGCCTCTCTGGAAAGATTCTCGCTAATGGATTTCCTGCTGCTCGGTCTCTGTCTATACTGGCTGCTGAGGAGGCCCTCGGGGGTGGTCTTGTGTCTGCTGGGGGCCTGCTTTCAGATGCTGCCCGCCGCCCCCAGCGGGTGCCCGCAGCTGTGCCGGTGCGAGGGGCGGCTGCTGTACTGCGAGGCGCTCAACCTCACCGAGGCGCCCCACAACCTGTCCGGCCTGCTGGGCTTGTCCCTGCGCTACAACAGCCTCTCGGAGCTGCGCGCCGGCCAGTTCACGGGGTTAATGCAGCTCACGTGGCTCTATCTGGATCACAATCACATCTGCTCGGTGCAGGGGGACGCCTTTCAGAAACTGCGCCGAGTTAAGGAACTCACACTGAGTTCCAACGAGATCACCCAACTGGCCAATACCACCTTCCGGCCCATGCCCAACCTGCGCAGCGTGGACCTCTCGTACAACAAGCTGCAGGCGCTCGCGCCCGACCTCTTCCATGGGCTGCGGAAGCTCACCACGCTGCATATGCGGGCCAACGCCATCCAGTTCGTGCCGGTGCGCATCTTCCAGGACTGCCGCAGCCTCAAGTTTCTTGACATCGGATACAATCAGCTCAAGAGTCTGGCGCGCAACTCTTTCGCCGGCTTGTTCAAGCTCACTGAGCTGCACTTGGAGCACAACGACTTGGTCAAGGTGAATTTCGCCCACTTCCCGCGCCTCATCTCCTTGCACTCGCTCTGCCTGAGGAGGAACAAGGTGGCCATTGTGGTCAGCTCGCTGGACTGGGTTTGGAACCTGGAGAAAATGGACCTGTCGGGTAACGAGATCGAGTACATGGAGCCCCATGTGTTCGAGACCGTGCCGCACCTGCAGTCCCTGCAGCTGGACTCCAACCGCCTCACCTACATCGAGCCCCGGATCCTCAACTCTTGGAAGTCTCTGACGAGCATCACCCTGGCCGGGAACCTATGGGACTGCGGGCGCAATGTGTGCGCCCTGGCCTCGTGGCTCAGCAACTTCCAGGGGCGCTACGATGGCAACTTGCAGTGCGCCAGCCCCGAGTACGCGCAGGGCGAGGACGTCCTGGACGCCGTGTACGCCTTCCACCTGTGCGAGGATGGGGCCGAGCCCACCAGCGGCCACCTGCTGTCGGCCGTCACCAACCGCAGTGACCTGGGGCTCCCGGCCAGCTCGGCTACCACGCTCGCTGATGGCAGGGAGGGGGAGCTCGACGGCACGCCCGAGCCGGCTACTGTGGCTCTCCCAGGCGGCGAGCACGCCGAGAACGCTGTGCAGATCCACAAGGTGGTCACAGGCACCATGGCCCTCATCTTCTCCTTCCTCATCGTGGTCCTGGTGCTGTATGTCTCCTGGAAGTGTTTCCCAGCCAGCCTCAGGCAGCTCAGACAGTGCTTTGTCACGCAGCGCAGGAAGCAAAAGCAGAAACAGACCATGCATCAGATGGCTGCCATGTCTGCCCAGGAATACTATGTTGATTACAAACCGAACCACATTGAGGGAGCCCTGGTGATCATCAACGAGTATGGCTCATGTACCTGCCACCAGCAGCCCGCGAGGGAATGCGAGGTGTGATTGTCCCAGTGGTTTTCAACCCGTGCGCTACCAAATACGCCTGGGCAGCCGGGGCGGGCCGGCGAGTGCCAGGCTGGAGTCTCCTTGTCTGTGCTCTGATATGCTCCCTGACTGAAACTGTAGGGGATCTCTCCTAGAGACTTGACATTTTAGCTTTATTGTGTCTTAAAAACAAAAACGAAATAAAACACAACAAAAATCCCACCCCACCACCTTCAGGACAGTCTATCTTAAATTTCATATGAGATCTCCTTCCTCCCTTTGAAGATCTGTCCATATTCAGGAATCTGAGAGTGTAAAAAGGTACCATTGATTTTTTTTTTTTTTGTAAACTAAAATGTTTAAAATAAAATAGCATTTACAGTTTTTACAGACTGGTGTAACCTAAATGAATTGTTACATGTGTTAAAAGAGAAGTTACAGTCAAAATTTCCTTTCCTCTGTGCGTATCCGTGTGTGATGGGGGTTGGGGGGAGATGTCCAGTGGACAGAGGGAAAATCCAGAAATTCAGGAGCAAAGTAGTCAGACTCAATTTGAAATATTAAGAAGGATAGACAAAGCTTATCAGGTTGATTTATCCCACATGGGTAAGGACTGAAAAAAAGGAAGACCCTTTATATTATTTTTAGGGGGGTGCCGTGCAATCTAACCACTTTAAAGCAAGTGAAAGGTGGACTGAGGACTGAGCATCAGTGCTGAGCCTTTAAGGCAGAGATCGTTGCTAATGGCTTTTAAAAGGCAGTGCCAGACAGTCTGTCCTACAACAAGAAACATTTTTTGCACTTAATGTAACAATCTTTCAAATCAATTCAAAATCTCACCCCCAAATGCCACTTGTTCTTAATTCTCCTAAGCCTTTGATTCAGCAGGCTTCCTAGCATTTGTGCCCTTTTCCATACTCTCCTGCCTTCTGTAGTCTGATTGAGGGGAATAGGTGGAACCCAAATGCTCAGTGATGAAAGCTGTGCCTCTGGAGTACATTGCTAAGACTGCAGCAGACTCAGGCTCTGAGCAGCGACGGCACACTCCTAGTTACTATGGGAAACAGTGAGAAAATCTCACCTCAGGATGAATGCCTACTGGGTAATGACTTGTAGTGGGAGACGTTAGTGTTAGTGGCAGACGTGATGCAGAAGCAATGAAAGGGGCAGGGTGGGGTGGGGTGGGGTTGGGGAAGATCATCATTTGATCCTGTGTTCGAATATTACTGAGATGGGAATAATTTGTTAGCCCAGGATAGAAAAGCTGCCTCTTCTCAGATTGCCCTTTTCTGTAATACTTGCTCTCCCTGTGTCGTTTAACTTTCTTCTGTGTTGGGATTCATGACTGCCCCTTCCCACCTTTCATAGGTTTCCAGGTCCATCACTGAGATTTAACTTGTTTATTAAACTAAATTAAAGAGTAGTAGCAGTTGGAGTGTGTGGGAAGGGACAGGGGTAGGAGTATGTGTGTTGGATGGGAGGGGTCTTTCACTAGCTAACAATTTAAGCAAATGCATGCCTGAAATAAACTGTCTTGGATGGCAGATGGTGAACACCGAACTAATGTTGTCCATGTCCAGAAGTCTTTCTCAAACTCAGGTGCTCACCCCTCTGAATGCTCCCACAGTCTGGCATCTTTCTTTTTTCTTCCTCTTTTTTAAGAGAGAAGTCCAAATAGCGGGAAGACGGTTGGGGAAAAGACATACATAAGCATCTCCTCAAATGCAAATGCTTCCAGCCACCTACCTAAAAAAGGCAAAATCAGCTGTTTGAAGTGCAGAATGGCATCAGCAGGAGGTTTACTTAAGATGAGGATTGGTAGTAGATTTCTCTTCTACCTACGGAGAAACCAATATGCCTAAAAATACTGCTTCTAAGAGGCTCTTTCAAGAGAAATAGTTTGCAAATGTCTCTAAGATGTTAAGCTTTGGAAGAGAGTTTCTTTCTCACACACACACACACACCACACACACACCCCAGCTCATTCTTCCTGACCAGGAAACTTTATCCTGTTTTGTTTATAATGAAAACATGACATTATGACACACACCATGCACATACCCATTTAGACTGTTAATGTTCTAGAAGAGAGGTGCTTTGTTTGATGACTTTGAGGAGGGGGTTTTGGATATAGTCTAAGCATGATCATTTGGGGCTGCCGTTTTGAATAGTGTATCACTTGGAGGGCAGGGGTTCCAGGAACATCTATAATTAAACCCCACTAAAGAGACCTCCTCTAATAGACAATGCAGATTTTTGGAAAAAAAATCTCCGAATTGTGGCAATTGAGGGAAAGCTCCTGGGATTCCATTGATTTAATCTCCTCATAAGGAAGGCTACTGGAATCCAGTGCCAAAAGCTGCTCTGGGTGGTGTATTAACGGCTGTGTTGGTGTGTTTATAGGGAAGGCTTCCCAAAGCAATGCCTTTCTGGCAAACATCAGAACCACAGGTCCCCCCTATCTCCTAGAAATAGAGATGTTGGAAACTGTAAAATTCATCTATCCCCAAGACTCTTTTTCTTTTCTTTTTTTTTCCATGTGGTCATGAGAAAAAGCGAGAGAATGTGTGCTTTGTTTTATGCTGCTGCGCACCCCCCAATATTACTGAACACCACATATGTAGAAGATCTTAAGTCCCTGTAAATCTAATGAAAGATCCTTGTAAGAGGAATCTGCCAACTTGAGACATGGAGAGCAAATGATGGCTATAGAAAGCTGTGTTCTTACTTTGTGTGTGTGTGTGTCAGTGTCTCTCTGTGTTGTGTGTCTTTGTAGGCAAGCAAAAATGTTTTCTATACAAACAGAGGAATTTAGCTCCCATCGTTCAGGCTCCTGCGCCTCTTGCTCTGGAGAATGGCCAGGGGAGGGAGAAGGCAAGAATAACGGAAATCTGTAGTTTTAACTAAGGTTTTGTGACACTTGAAATCTTTTCTTTCTCAAATTAATTAATCTTTAAGCTTCAAGAAACTTGCTCTGACCCCTGTAAGCAAGCTACTGAGCATTAAAAAGAGAATCTAATTTTTAAAGGTGTAGCATCTTTTTTTTGTTCTTCCCACAGAGGGTGCTAATCTCATCATCCTGTGCTATCTGAAAAGAACTGAAGGCCACAATTCACGTCTCTTCCTGGGCATTGTGATGGATTAACCCTCCCTTTGCAGTATCTTCCCAGATGATTAAAGTTCAGCCATGGTATAGAGGTTTTTAGAATATTTATCTAGAAGAAAAGTCTTTTCAAATAACAAATTATACTCTCACGCCAGTCTTAGCCCCCTCATTTTTTAAATTGTGCCAGAGAGAGTAGGTTAAATGCAACCCATCCTTTGATCTACACTCAGAGAAGAGGCAGCCCCCGATGCTCTGACTTAGTTGCGATGGTTGAGACCAGTGGTCCCACAACGCACCCCAGGCTCCCAAGACTGAAAAGTTGCCATCACATCCTTTTATTCCAGTAAAAGGAAACTTCCTTTTTTTTTTAATCTGTTTTTTCTAATCTCCCAAGCTCCTCAAAGTATGAGGGCCCTACCTTTCCTCCTTGCCTTCAGGAAGGCAGTCATTGGGGATGACTTAGCATCAACAACACATTTATAAGTATGTGTAAGAAATTAGAGGGCAAACACCACTTGCCATTCCTCTCAAGTTTCCTAAGCAACTGCACACAGATCACTGGAGGGTGTGGGGGGACGCCTGTGTTCCTGGGTTATATTAATCGACTTGTCAGCAAGTTTGGCACCTCTTCTATATGGCACAGCCATGTGGAAGGGGGCACTGGTGGATCACAGAGCCTGGTAAAATGAAAGGCATCAGATGCCCCTCTCACAGAGAACGTTATTGAAAGACCAGAATTTATATCTGTTTTGGAGAATGGGTATTATAATGTTTTAAGTTAAAAGAAGCATCAATTATTCATCTAGATGGGTGGTTATGTTGGTTGATTTGAGTTTGCCATTGATGGAATGTCAAATAACAAGGAATTAGCTGGAATATGACTATTAAACAGTCTCTTGAAATATATTTTGAGGGAAGTTTCAGTATACACACACACACACATATATTGCCATACATATATATATATACACACACATAACCACGCACACATATGATCACATTATGTAACTGCCCTCCAGCATTAATAACCCTCCTACTTTCTTCTTCTATGATCAAACTTTTACTCAGGAAAGGACCTGATAAAATCAGTCACAATTAAGGTGTAAAGGACTGAGGAGGCTGGCGGTATTTTCAGGCATTAGTTAATGAGTGGGTAGGTGCTCTGCTGGATAGGGGATCTTCTGGGCTCCACATGCCATAGGAGAGTGTACTCCTGCTACCTAGTGGTAAGAGCCAGCAAATGGCAGTGCCTTCTGAGAGTATGCTCCTAACTAATGAGTTCTATCTTAGGGTTAGGAAACATATTTCTCCATTAAAAAATGCTCTCCTCTGAATTTTTTCCAGGGATCCAGGAGGCAAATTCTTACTCCTGACTGGCTACCATCTCCTGGCCTTCCTCTACTGGACACAGTTTCTGAAGGTCTTTGGTTTTTCGCTCAGAGAGAAGGGCCTGGCTATTACATACATCAGGTTTAGTGAGAGATGTAAATGAGATTGAAGAAATAAAATTTACTGAGTATTTGGAATGAGAGCTTTTACCTGGATTTCAATATGTGAGAGAGGTACTAGGAACCTTATCTTTACATGAGGAATCTGAGGCTTAGAGAGGTTAAATACTTCATACAAAGTCACCCAGCTAGTAATTGGGAGCACTGGTATTTGGTGTGGTGGCCTTTTTACTACCCTGTGTCTTCTTTCCTTGAACGGTGTCCCCCTGCCCCTCACCCCCCAACTCCTCTACCTAGCAAAGAGCCTAGGACTAGCCTGGCCATAGGGTACAAGCTCACTATATTCCTGTTGCATGACATGGGCGCAATGCTTGAATCCAGGAATTTTCATCACGACTTTGTTCTGGCCTCTGGTAATTGGATAATGCAGGACTCTGCCAATAGAGGAGACCTCTCACAGGCTTCCAGGAGCAAATGTCCAGTTAATTATCCAGTCCAACCTCTAACCAGAGGATTCTGGACTCAGAGAGAGTAAGGTATGAGTATCCATAAATTATTGTCAGGGATTTATTCACATTTCTTTCTTGGTCATAAATAGGCTAGGTCTCTATGGCAGTGGTTCTGCCATATGAACAACTGGTAATGTCTGGAAACATTTTTGATTTGCATGCATGGAGTGAGGGATGCTACTGGCATCCAGTGGGTAAAGGTCATGGATCCTGCTAAACATCCTACAGTGCACAGGAAAGCCCCCTCACGTGGAATTATTTGTCCCCAAATGCCAAGAGTGCCAAGGTTGAGAAACTCTGCTCCATGGTATGAAGAAATGAGGCTGTCTAACCCAACATGCTGTGCTCCTGCTTTTCTTGGCACAGCCTTTGTAAGGAGGAGTTGGAGTTTGGTTCACCTAGATCTCTTCCCTTTTAATCTTCCTCTCTCTTGCAGAGAACTGGAAATCTAAATTAAAATCCCTCAGGTTGGTTGTTAATCAGCAAGAGGACCTGTGGTTAGCACATGTTTCTCGAAGAACATATGGCAAAATTTAAACTAACTGAGACAAAACTTGTCAGAACCCTCAATTGACCCACTTTTTCCTTAGCAATACCTCATTTAGGAAACGGGAAAAAAATGAAGTTAACAGTGGAAATTTAATTAACGAGAAGGAAAATGAGAAACTTGATATTCCTTTCAGGAGCTCTTCTGAAGTCTGAACAAATTTAGCCTACCTGCCTGTGTTTTCTTCCCCAACTAAGGCTGGAATGTCTCTGAAGTGGGATTGTGCTTCCATTTAAAAAATTAATGGCTTATCTAGTGAGTAGGGTGGACATATTAATCAGGAAAATGATCTCAGACCTTAGAAATGGGATGGTCTAGAGATGCAGGCATCGAAAACGGAAGTGCATTTGGGGCCAGGCAGACAACAGAGATGAGTGAAGTTCATGGGCATACAACATTATGGGGGAACTGGAGGGTTCACTGAAAAAAAAAGGCAGTTCACATTTGAGTGGTCCTGGTTAATCACAACACTTCTGCAGGCCAGGTCAAGTGAGTGCTCTGGAAGAAACAGGGTCTAGAAGGTGGGAGACTCCCTTTAGACCTGGAGCTGTTATTGATACGCCTTGGGTTCATCCAGTAATTGTCTTGCTGCAATGGGCCTCTGCCTCTTTGCCTTTAGGAGAATTTATCCAGGTATTCCCTAGGAATCCTTCCAGTCCTGGGCTTCTATTTTACCATTTTCCCCAACAATAATACATGAAACAAAAGTGGTTTTCAAGCTAGTGCCACTTAACCAGAAAATTAAAATTCCCCTGAACTTCTTTCCCCAGATATTGTGATTCATCAGGCTTGCCTGCGTATGAACAAGGAAAGGTAGATAAAAAATCAGAGAGATAACAGCTTCAGAGAGGAGGTGGGGATGCTGGACAACTGATGAGAAAGAGCAGACAAGTGTGGGTGGGAAAATAGGTTTTTAGAACGTGCAGGAAGAGTTGAAAGGGAATCCTAGAGAGGACATGCGCACTTATACTCATCCACGCATGAGGCCCGGAACATAGGGATGTGCTATGAGCTGGGCCCAATAAAAAACTTGAAGAATGCCACCCGGGGGTGGGAGTCGGGGGGCAGGGAGGAAGTACAGAAAAACGTTTGTGCAGGACTCCTAAAACAACTTGCTGTATTGTAAGAGGCTACAATTAATATTAGGAGTGAGAGCCCTTTTGTAAAACGAGGAGAGAAGGGAGGGAAGGAAAGGGGGAGAGACTGGAAAAAACAAAAGGAAAGGTGGGAGGCAGAGGGTAAGAGAAGAAGAAAGAGAAAAAAAAGAAAAAGAGAGAGCAAGAGGGGAGGAGTTTCAAGATTTGTGCTTTACATTGCTCCAATAATCACCACAAGTTGCTGTGATACACCAACTTGGCCCCTTGACCCTTTTTCATCATATCTTTCCTTTTTCTGATCTACCAGGTTGGCTGTTTGCTTCTTCTCAATGTAATGTTGGAAAGCTATTTTTCCTCCTGCTTTGTGAGGAAAAATAATTCATTGTCGAGCTGCATCCTTCTTTCTCTTGCTCAGCTAGGAGAATGCTTGTCAACCCTGGCTGCACACTGGAAAGACTTAGGAACTTTAATGAATACTGATGCCTGGGTCCCTCCCCAAGAGATGCTGATTTAATTGGAGTGCGGCCTTAGTGAGGAGACTT